AATAGAAATTTGAAAGAAAAATCATGCACTAACGAAAAATTTTTGCTTTGGTTTCGTAACAAGACAGACTAGGAAAAAAGCTCCTCCCGAAAAGATAGCATGAACCAGTTTCAATGTATATACCCCTTTGATTAGGAAAAAAAAAAAAAAAAAAGTTCAAATGAAAGTTCAATTGAAAGTTCAAATGAAAATTCAAATGAAAGTTCAAATGAAAATTCAAATGAAAGTTCAAATGAAAATTCAAATGAAAGTTCAAATGAAAGTTCAAATGAGAGTTCAAATGAAGGAAGAATATTTAGTGCCTAAAAAAATTTCTTTTTATGTGCACGATGAATTATGTCGAAAATAAATCGGTAAAGGCTTTTTTAAGCCGATGTAAAGAAAGATTGTTCATCTCTAATAGCAAGATTTTTCGATAATCGACTTTACCAAACCCTAAATTCAACCCTAAATTCAACCCTAAATTTATATCTTGAAAAGATAAAATCCCAAATCACCAAACATTCATAACATTCATAATATTCATAACATTCATAAAATTGAATTAAAAAAAAAAGTTATTTATAAATTTGTCCGGTTGTATGGTTGGGTTCTGGTTCGGTCAGGAGTTGAACTACTGGAAGCCGATGATGATGAATCGTCAGTGTTATTTGCTAAAGTGGTATCTGGTTCAGACAATTCCAGTTTCTTATGTTTAACATTCCTTCCAACTCTAGCCCAAGGGCAATGTTGTAAAACATCCAATTGTCTTTGATCTCTTTCCATATAACTTCCCCAATGTAAAACATATCGACGTTTCTTTCCTCGAGGAGCTCTCCAACAATAATCATATTCACATAATAAACATCTAATTGCTATAATTCTTTTAAGAACGATCGATGGACAACGACCTTGATAAAGAGAGGCATATTCAGCAAATTCTTTTTTTCTTGCTAGAATTTTAATATTTGATTCAAAATTTGTTGCTTCTTTATTATTTAAAAATCCAGTGATAGCAACGACAGGTTCCCAAACATGTCCACCTCCATCTGTTGTTAAACGGTTATGTTTTTCAAGGCGGTCCTAATTGTTAAAATGAAAAAAAAAAAAAGAAATAATTCGACCGATTTTCATGGCTTATTTATTTGTATTGCACAATCCCAATATAGAATTGATATTTATATTACCTTGAGGTCATGAGTGTTACCAACGTATACTTTTGACCTGTTTGGATTGAAGAGGATGTAGACACACCAAGTATTAATAATGGATTCTAATCTCGAATTACTTGACATTTTTTTTTTTTCAAAGGAAGGAGTTGGACAGAGTTCGGGTGTGTGGATGACAAAAAGGGAGAAATAAATAGGTACAACTGTAGGCTATTTATTTATTATGCAAATGGGCTTGAAATGTTTCATGGGAATCGTGGCACATGTTTAGGGCCCAAGTATGGATTCGGGGCATGCAAAGATCTGAACACCGATACCCAGATATGGAGATTTTAAAGCGAATAACCGATTAAAAAAACGAAGTTTTATCAATGCAAGTTCATTAGATGCTCATTCAACTCGTAACACAAAAAAAATACAATACTTTGCTCCAAAAAGTCAATCAACAGTACACGAAAGAGTAAAAAAATAAAGAAAGTTTTGAAAGAGATTACGAGAAAGGTTTTCATCATTTTTTTGTAAACTATAAATTTTCATCTTTATAATTTTATTATAATTTATTAAAAGAAAAAGGACTAGGAAAAAATTTTGGGATCGTTAGTTTTTGTTTAATATTTAAATATTTTACAAGTTTTTAAAGTGTTTTTAAACTTTAAAAAATTTTATTTAATAAAAAATTAAAGAAAATTTTAAAAAGTTGACATACTTTGTTGAATTCATTTGGTTTGATTCGTGGCTGCGCCACATTTCAAGCATTTTAGGTAGTTTTGAGCATCAATTATACGGTATTTATGAAAAATAAGCAAATCTCGGACGAAATTTAGCTTATAAACTGAATTTGCATTCTTTTTAACTCACCAAATAAGTAATTATAAGAATTCTGTATGCTCAAGCAAAAAAAGAAATAATTTCATCACCAAAGAAGGTAAAAATTTCCTTTGGAAAGCCAAGGAAGGTTTTGTGCGAATCATTATAGCATCTATGCAGTGTTAACAACGTGATCGAGGATAATAGTAATTAAAGAAATGCATTCGTAGATCAATCGATTGAAATTTCCTAAGAAATCTAAGAAATTAAAAAAAAAAACAGAGAAAATTGAAAACTGGGTAACTGCGCCACCCTGCATCTATCGCTCATTTCGAAAGAAATAAGGCGCGAAAGTGAATAAAATATATATATATAGAAAAGTAATAATATAATATGAAACCTCAACAGCCAATCTCATTATATTGCGCGATTAATAGTTAATCGGTTAAAATTAATTCAATATGGATGATCCTACGGTTAATAGTAAAGTTAATATTTAACGTAAATTCAGGAGAGCGAGAGTAAATTTCCGCGTAACAATGGATGACAAATATGAAAATAAAATTGTAGATAAACAAAAAAAAAAAAAAAGTCACGGGATTCGTAATATGTAATTATTATAATCTTATAACCTTGATGACCGACCAGATGAATCGTCGATTGGATCTACTGCGTGTCCATTTTTCATATGCGCTCATTAGGGACTTTCCAAAAGCACCGACATTTTCATATTGTTCAGAAAATAAATTTAAAACAAACAATTCAATTTAAAAGTTCAATGATCACATGATTTCCAAGAGAATTGAAATTTCGAAGTTATCCAATCGGCTTTCATTAAGTCCGTGCGACAATAGT